AGAGAATAAGATCTCGTCTCTCAAGTCTCGAAGGCTTGTTATCCATACCTTATGTATCCAAATATAGTGAAACTTTGTGTACCTACTAATTTTCAAGTTTTTCCGAAAAGTTTTAAAAAAGTCAGTTTAAAAGAGTTTTAAAAAGCAAAAACAGTTTAAAATGTTAGATTTTTGAAAAAGTTAAAAAAGTTAAAAAAGTTAAAAAAGTTTAAAAAATTAAAAAGTTAAAAAGTTAGGGTTAGGGGTTAGTGGTTAGGGTTGGGGTTGGGGTTAGGGTTAGTGTTAGGTGCCGCGAATTTATTATTATGATAAATTCAAAATGTGCCGCGAATTTATCATAATGATAAATTTGGACGTGTTTACAGGTAAACTACGTGAAGCGTTCCTCTTTTGAGTTCCTAACTCATTTGGAATTTTCATAATTAGCTTTGCAAATTTGGAAAAGTCTTTGCAAATCCTTGAGGGAATTTGCAATTTTCCTGTCGGCCGTTGCAATATTCCAACGCAAAGAAAGTCCCTTTCAAATTTCCCTAACTTCCTCTTTTAATTTCCTGACTTCCTGTTCTGTTCTGTTCTGTTCTGTTCTGAGCGTTATCATTGGCGGATTATTTTGTTAGCCAATTACAACGCGCAGAATAGAACAGGAAGTTAGGAACTTCAAACAGGAAGTTAAGAACTTCTAACAGGAACTGAGGAAAATTTATTTGGCTCTTAAGAACATTGCAAATTCCCTCAAGGGATTTCCCAGGGAGTTTTTCAAATTTACTACGGTAATGAGGAAAATTGCAATCAAGTTAGGAACTTAAAAGAGGAACGCTTCACGTAGTTTACCTGTAAGAATTTACTCATATATTAAATTGAAAGGTGGAGATCATACTGCAATATATTTAGGGAGTCGAACCCATAGAAATAATAGATAACATCTATTATTTATATGGTCGAACCTAAGCTCTCTTGGTTTGAGAGTAGGCATATGCAATACTCGGGTTATATCTGAAAAATAGGCCGTTCACGCAATATATATTTATAGTCAAAACCTGTCAAAACTTAGCCTGCGCGCAGACTATATAATATATATAGTCTGAATATATAGTCTGCGCGCAGGCTAGTCAAAACTTAACCTCATCTTGATCAGCTTTCATATTACGTCATTAGATTAATTCTAGCAGCCAAATTAAAACCAGAAGAAAACTAATTTGCAATTCGTCTATTTTAACCGCAAAACCGGCAAACACATAAAGAAATGAATGGCGATGATGTTTTTTATATAACATTTTTTCTCAAAATGACCCAAATATTTAGACATACCAAAAATCATATATGGGCTTAGCGACACTCAGGGGCGTAGCTAGAGTTGGTATGGGGAGGTGTCAACCTCGTTCCCAGGGCTTCAGTGTGAGGACGAGGCGAGACACGAGGAAGCCCTGGTCCGGGCCGGTCACTTTTGCATTCTGATTGGCTAACACCATATTGTCTAAAAATAACTGAACTTGACGGTTGACAATAACAAATTACAATACAATTCAACATTTGTATTTTTATGATTCTTGTGTGTACGAGTATGCTTTGCAAAATAATCTTTCAAAGTAAGACGTTTTCCCGACTGCACGATTTACTTTCGCCTCGGCCGGTTACAAAACTCAAAAGCCATGTCGAAGTGAGCTGTGATGTTTCCTGACAAAACAAGAAATGTCTACTATTATTTAAGTTTTCCTTGTACAGTATTTATTAGTGCAGATGTCTGATGAAATACTACGCGTATTGCATTGTAGTAATATTTTAATTTACAATATTCTGTACTGACAAATAAAAGCAAGACAAACAATTAAATGAAACTACTAAATTAATTTAGGCCCTGTTTACTTAATATACGCCTAGGCCGATGTAGTCTACAAGATTCGCACGCCACCCAGTTTTTCAGTTTCAGAATACGCCGAATACTTGAAAATTGCGACTATACGATAAAATAAAACAAAGATTGTGAAGGGGATAAAATTTGTAGGCAAGCATTGCTCCTGAACGGCAAGTGTTGGGGTCCGGCGAAACAAGCGAACCGTATATTCCTGTACAGCGTAAACAGGTTACGCGAGGTTTTATATTTGTGTTTATTTAATATATTGAACTAAGTCAGATCTATAAGAGCATATTTAAACTAAATATTAATTATAGCAATAGCCATATTGTTCAAGACGAGAGAAAGGAAATTTCGTGTGAATCACCACTTGCATGGAGACGCCTAGATGCAGCTAGCTTGGATGCAGAGCTTTGTCTGTAGTTGAAAATCTCCAGAAATATCGGTATATCTTAGAAAACATAGACGGGATCTTCATAGATTTTAGCTGATTCGTGTCAAACTTCGCTCTACACATAAATAATATCGATTGAGAAGTCTTTTGGCTATTCATTTGTTTCGAAGACTTGTATATTTCATTAAAGAATATCTCGCCACTCCTTGACGAGTAGCTGTCAAATACTGCCATTTTTTGACGTCACGTGACCGGCCCGGACCAGGGCTTCCTCGTGTCTCGCCTCGTCCTCACACTGAAGCCCTGGGAACGAGGTTGGGGAGGTGTAACACCCCACCATTCATCATAGATTCGGCAAATGTCTGCTAGACTCGACAAATGCTTGTCTGCTAGAATCGGAAAATTGTTTTCGGATTTATCGGAAAATTGTTTTCGTGGTGAGCGAAAGTATTTGAGTGGCTCGGAATTAAAAATTATGATATATGGGGAAACATTTTTGTAGTTTCGGAAAAATTATGATATGTCCGGAAAATTTTTTGTATTTTTGGAAAAATTATGATATGTCCGGAAAAAATTGGATATGTTCCGAAAATTTTTTGCATGTCCGGAAAAATTTTTGCGACCTCCCCCACTGTCTGTCCCAAGTCTTGGACCGCAAAATGCGATCACTGTATTTAATGGTAGATTTATTGCTACAACTTTAAAAATCGCTTTTAATTCGTATTGTTTAGATTGTCTAGATTCTCTGGCGTGGGAAGACTGTATCCTAAAAATGGCGGATATTCAGCCACGCTAGAAAGGATAATTCATAATTGGATGCTCAGTGTGCCGGATTTGAAAAGTTCTCATACGTTCTCAACAGTGAGGAAGGATATTGACCAGGTAGAAAATTTCCTTTTTCCCAATACACCTTATAGCACAGAAAATCGTCGGTAGGAGTTAGTGATATAAGGTAGGAGTTAGTGATATAGGGCATAAATCGTTATTTATATCGACAAGTACCGATATTTTTGGAATTGACATTAATATTTTTGGGATAAAATATCAGCTTATTTTCACGATGTATAGGAACGCTTGCTGGAGCGAAAAGCATTGGAGGTTGAAGAAACGGGTGAGGCTAAGATGTGGGCGTAGTCCTTAATAGCACCCAATTTAGTGTTTCGTGAAGAAGATATATAGCAGCTAATTCAGCAGGAGGGCATTTCTTGTGTAACTGCGATAAAGGCGTCGATCATTTTATTAGCTAGGGCTTTTCCTGCGAGTAGTTTAATGCATTCCCACCATCTTTTAGGGTTGGGTTTCGATTTCAGCTGATCCATAATTTTTTGAAGCTAGGCAGGTCGGCTAAGTTTCGCACATTGTCGGTTTGCAAGTTTGCTGATCACAGATAGTCTAACCTCGCATTCCCATTCCGGCATTCGATCGATCCCTCGCTGAACATTTTCAGCAAGAAAATTAACAGATAACATTAAGTTACGCGCATGCATTTATCGAAAAATGGGAAGTTTTGTTCCAGAGGGCGAACGAACCAATTCAGGATTCCTATCAGAAATACTCTCAGCTGATCTCGCCTACAATCAGTAAAAGCCCACTAATATGAGAATAAAGGGCTTGCTTCGGTGGCGCCGTCGTCAGAGCAACCCCTTTCACCTCTGAGTTTGTGGGTTTGATTCTCGCAACGGGCACATATGTGAAAAGAGTCAGTCAACGCTCTGCCGAAAGTCGTGCGTTTTCTCCGGGTGCTCCGGTTTAATTCCTCCCACAGGGAAGTTTACAAGCTTAAGGTGGGTTAGGATAAACACAGTTAAGAAGTTAGTGTAGGCCATTGAACTAAAAATAACTGGAACGCTACGTTCAGTAAACTGCGCATGCAAATTTTGAAGCCAAAATTTGACTCCCATGATTCATGAAGCCAGTTTTGACTCCCAGACACGCACTTCCACGCGTGTTTCTACTGCGCGATTTACTCGCGAGACAATGCAGGGGGCGATCGAAGCATGCCGTTTTGAACGTTTTCATGGGAAGATGCGAATCGAAAGGGAAACGGGGCTTTTATTTTAAAACGGGCCTTTTAAAGCATGTGTACGACCTTGTATAAATTAGCTTCAAACTTCCGCTTGAACGTAGCGTTCCAGTTATTTTTAGTTCAATGGTGTAGGCTGACCTGAACATGGAATAATTGATGTAAAGCGCGTTTGATCTAGACTATACAGACTATTATAGTCCACATGTAACTCGAGTGAGATGTCCAAATTAATTTTATAATATATATGGCACAGCTCTTGAAAGCGTCATAGTGTGCCTGCATGTCAGTGACAGTTGTGACACCCACAAGATTGTCAGGTGTATATTCCGAAATACTTTTCAGTTAATATTATGAAGTGTTATAAAATTGTGAAGTTATCTTGACAAATCCGATGAACAAAAACAATATACCACCAGAAATAAAATAACATTTATTTGTCTTATACTTGTGTACAACGGATATCCGCCCTCGCTATTCAAATTCAGACAACAAATTAAACAGACACAGCTTCTCGCCTTCTCGCAGCTGATTTGGGTAAAAAAAAACGCGGGAAGTCATCCATGGTTTACCCGCCAAAATTTCTAACAGTCCTGTTGATTGGCTAATCCTAAATCCATTCACTGAAGTGCGTCATAATGACTGTTATGAGGTAGCCTATCAAATTGCACGTAACAAGCAGTGTTTAACTAAAAATGACAATCATTCTTGTATCTGAGCTGAATTAACCAATGAGAGGCAACATAAACAAACTAAAGATGCTAATTCATTAACTGTTGTTGTTGACCGCGTGCAGTTTAAAGGTATCATAGAAATTTTATAGTATTTTTATATCTTCTAAATACGCTGTTGTCCGATTATTTTGTCGGAATAGAATTTGGACGAGTGCCAGTCAAGGAAACTGTGCTGAATACTATTACTAGAATGCCGGAGAATACGTTAACAAGCTCTGGTCCGATTGATATTTTTACAAAGCGTAAGAGATCACGATGCGATTCAACAAGTAGCTTGTCTTCAAACAGTCCTCCAATCCAGAGAACACTAGAACTCAATGGCGTTATAGAAGTTCTTAAAGAGTATGAAAGTATAGAAGGAAATGACATCAACTGCTGTATGTGCGGTGAGTGTATATACGATTTATAGTTTAGTTTCACTTCTGAGCTTGAAACCAAAATAAAATTTTACCCGAGCTTGTGTGTGTGTGTTTACATTCGTTTCCGATTAAAGATGTCTGCAGCAGTTGTTGATTTTTACGCAGTCCAATGTGTTCTGACACTTTATTGTGACTGGTGAGCAAGATAACTACAAGTAATTGTAGACGGAATTAACAGTATTCTGTAATGTTTGGAGATTCTTAATATTATCGATGCATAATTTACGTATAGAAGTATTGGCGTGTAGTCACTGTAGTGATAATGTTGTCAACTATTACACACTTACTGTAACACATAACTTGAACCTTCAAGTTTATCCTAGTTTTATACCTTTTCGAAACAAACGAACGAAATAAATGAACTATATCACATAGTTTTGTATAACGCTTAGGTTTAAGAAAACATTTTGAATATTATACAAGTGTCTGGATTATATTACAGTCTCGTGACTCGCATTGTAGACACTTAATTTTTAATGGTTTTCATTTTGAAACGAAACGAACTTAAAAGTTGTCGAAAACCTTATTGCATTGAGTTTAGAATTTCAACATAGAAATATAATGTAATATATATTATATTATGCCTAGATTTTAAATTATTACTGAAGTCGGTACGAATCTGGCGAGCATATATAGCCAGACGCCCACATCGTGTTCTCCACTGTGTCTGTGGACTCTCTGTGTGCACATGTTATAACACTAGGTATATTATATATCTTTGTTGTAGGAAAATCATATAAAGGAAAAGTGTGTTTTACAAAACATCTGTGGGAACATAGCGTTTATTGGGAGACATTTGACGGCGTGAAAAATCAAGAACGCGTCCTTTCAATTCAGGCTGCAATCATTTTATCCAATCCGTTTCTTGAGTTCCTATTGGTCACTTCCCCAAGCTCGCAAGAGAAGAAAAAGGAAGACATTAATAAGGCTAGTGAAAATAGCAAACAACAACAGTCAAAGAAGAAAAGAAAACGACCTTATGTAGCATTCAGTAAAGTCCAAGACTAACAAAGCAATATTGTTTTGTAGGTTATAAATCTGTATATAAACTATCAGGCTGAGCCCTTAACCACTGACTGTTCTGGTTCACAATTCGTTCAAGCTATTTAAACTTTTCATCACAAATTTATAGAATAAATCGTTATCTTCCACAGCAGAGCCAGAGATAACACCAAAGTGTATTAACAACAAAGTGTATTAACAACAAGCTATATTTTAAATTAGCGGCCTCTTTCCTGGTATAAAAGAAAACCGGAAACTCTCTTGTGTTATGTTTTGATTTGAAGTACATTTTACAGACCAAATCAAGAATAGCAATTAAGTTTGGTGATCTTTCGGCCTTCGTAATTTCTAATTGCTGTTTGAGAAAGCTGCAATACAGTACTCAGCAGCTGTGCCGTAACTGTATCAGCAATATTAATGGCATTCGAAGAATTTTTGAATTAAGGATTGCCTGTCAACACACACTTCCTGTGGATTACATTTCTGGCTGGTTTTCAAAAGAACCGCATAGTTAAGGATGTCTGTAACTAATCTGCTTTAATATCTATTTCTGGGCATGTATATACTATATATATATTATAGTTTTTACTTATAGTTTATAAATCGTTACGATTTGTTGATGTGTATAGCTATATTTGTCGATAACATGCACGTTTGTCAGAATTTTGATTTTCCTGAACGGGAAACTTGGCACACGCACCGATTTTACATTTTCCGGCCGACGCATCATATGATTTCGGAATGCGTTTTTGAGGCATTCTTGAGAAGTCGGCTTTACACACAGTTCACCTATGGTGTAGTTGAATACAATTTATTTGCGTACCATTTTGGTTTAGAAATTTACAGTTTTGATGAACAGTGTCAGTGATAGACTAAACATTGAGCATCACTATGGGATAACCTACAAACGGTATTGTACTTGTACACTACTCACTATTGGATAATGATTATTCTAATGCAATTCATCGTACTAAAGGTCTGGCAACGTGACTCAATTTGGACTAAAGCTCGAGCCGGCCGGCTGAAAATAAAATCGTACCGTGTGACTGTAATTTTAGGCTTTTGTAAAGTCATTGACATTGTACATAAAATGTGAACAAATTAGTTTAAATAATCATGTATTGTATAAATTTAATTGCCAGTTTTGTTAGAGATTCAAATGTTTGTTGAAAAGTTCTATTAGTATTAAATTTCAAGTTGCATTGCAAAACGTATTTGTGTGTATATTATATGGAGATATCATTATATACTATTACTTTTACCAATTAAAAATCTCCTAACATTTGCTTTGAAGGGGGGGGGGGCAAGGGTATTTTCGTGACTCGTGATTAGCAATTATTTGTGCTTTGTGATTCGTGATTTAAAGAAATACCATTCCGTGAATCGTGATTAATATGCGCGCCGTGAATCGTGAAGAGCTAAAACGGCTAGCTAGGGTCTTGAATTAACCAATGTTTTACCCTAACTTGTGTATGTTTACGTTTAAAACTCGGCCCAAATTTAATATTATGGTGAAAAAATAAATAAATTTGCTTCCCGCGGTTGTCTTTCTTAAAGTTTCTTCGTTTCAAATTGAGGTTGCTTTGTGCTCGTAATGTTTCGTAATGTCTCGCAATGATTTTCATAGTCGTTTAAAAGCTCTAATGTTAAAGTCAGAATGTGTTTGTGTTAACATCGAGTTCTGCTGTCTAGAAAATCGTTAAATGGTTTCAGACTTTGTTACGCTTCTGTGTTTCCAAAAATCGTGAAAATGAAATTTTGTTTTTCGTGACTCGTGAAATCGAAAAATGATCTTCGTGATTTCGTGACGAGACCCCCCCCCCCTTTGAAACTAACAGTATTATCATTGAAGTGCTGGATTTAACTAAAGATTATTGAGAACAGATGGTTGACACATGTAACTTGTTGAAAACATTCCACACATTCCAACCGGCAATGAACGGCTTCTCTTGATCAGTTCAAAAGTTCAAAATGAGTTCCACATCAGTGGTTTCCACTCATAATCTTACTGAAGTGGTGTATCTATTGAATTTACGCATCTGTACAGTTATGTAGGTTCACAAAGCCCGTTCCCGCTTAATTTGCTACATCTTCAGTTTTCTTTTCACGGCAATAATCACTGTAACCTACCGGTATTATTTCCGCTCAGTAATAGCTTGTAATCGCAGGGAATTAAATGTTTTAAAATTAAAATTTAATTCATGTGATAACGCATCGTGCATTCAGCTGCCAATTGAATCCTAGAAATGTTATAACATGTGTCATGCGGCCACTGAACGGGACAGAAGTTGGAGTCACTGATCTCAAAGCAAGATCAGTAGCGGTTGGAGTCGATAAAAGTTCAATTCATGATAGCGCAGCATATACAACTGTTAAATACTAGAAAAATATACAATCCTGAAAAATTCACGATGTATTCAGTGTGCGGTATTTTTTATGCCTCCAAGAGTAGAGCCAATATTACCGTCTACAGACGGTAATATTGCATGGCACGTCTTTGTTTTCAGACAAGTACCAGGTATGTACTCTGGGGAGCGCTGGCAAACTTCCCAAGGTTTCAAAACCGTAATTAAAGTGCTTACGCAACAAGATTTTAGGCCATTCTCAGTTTATGATTGCATTTTGTAAAGATATTTCAAAATGATATTTGCTGTGTTGGTGTAATGTACTCAGGCGAATAAGATGTTTGTGTGATGTTACTGGGTGTGTTGCACCTCAGAGGTGTGTTGCACCTCCGAAAGATCGATCTGGCGGCAAAATCGGCATCTTGCTCTCGCTTCATTTACAGTACTGTACCTATTTCTTAACAATTTCGATAACGCATTATTGACCATGTCCAAACCATGCCAAATTATCTTACAGAAAGCCATTATGTTCAATTTGACATAGTGAGGATAATTTGTCATCAAACATAAAGAATATCTCAAAAAAGAAGCAAGCTAAGATATTTGGTAAAGTATCAGTATTAGTCATTTTGAATTTTAATTACAATGCCATCATAAAAAAATGCTGGAGTCAATCGTGTGTGTATATGCAATGCCATTTAAGAATCTTGAATTATCGCACCCTGGCCGGCATTGATTCATAATTCATTTCACATTTGTTCTGTCAGTCAGTTAAAATACCTCTTAAAAGTATCTTCATGGTCACTCTGCTACGATTCGTTAAAAACTTTAACTACCTTCATTCAAAAACCTAATAAATGACTTGATAATTTGTGTTTTGCTCAACTGAGGTAAAGTAGCTGGTGATATTGCTCCAACCTGGAATCGAAACCAAGAGGGCCTTAAGAGTATCCCTTGTTTCTAGTATACCAGCTCTCTGGTAAGTGGAGAGTCCTTTTGAATTGGGGATGTAATCCAATTGACTGCTCAGAGCGCTGGCACGTTACACCAAACACTACCTCCGGGTTCCAGGGGTGTGTTGCACCTCCGAAAGATCCATCTGGCGGCAAAATCTGCATCTTACTTTCGCTTCAATTACAGTACTGTACCTATTTCTTAACAATTTCGATAACGCATTATTGACCATGCCCAAACCATGTCAAAACTACATTTGGAACATTTGGAAGTTAAGTCATCTTTTCAGTCATTTTTGACCACAATTATCGTAAATCGATGAAGACATAAAGTAAAGGGGTTACTTTTTAACAGAAACCGCCTATGTCTCGCTAAACACATACTGACTTAAACTGACCAAAGACTTTCGTAGATACAATAATTTGATTAGTAACAGTTTCATGTGCAATGCTATCTTCTTCAGGCGGGACGGGACGTTTTCATCACGCCTAGGAGAGTTTCCCCGTCTAGGCGGGATAGTGTGTTTATACGGACAAAATACATTGCTGGGATGAAGCCATTTATTAAAGTGATTGACGTCATATTTTTTTGAAAAAAAGGCATTTACGCATGCTCAAGGGAAAAGTTTATCTCGCCTATCCCGGGCATTGAGATCCCATCTAGGCGGGATAAGTGGCGGGATCATAAAAACACTCATTAGAATTTGTATTATGAGGTGGATCTTGATAACTGGTAAGCATCCTGTCCCGCCTGGCCAAGATCATATAAACAGCCCTTAAGGTTACAGGAGACCCTAGAATTTTAAAATTTTAAAAAAAAAAATTATTTAATTTTCTTGTAGCTAGGAAATAGATCTGTCGTCAGAAAAAATTTCAAATTAAAATCTTTCAAATTGAACACGTTATCAAGTAAAACGCTTTCCAAATTCTATGATCACTAAATCATGAATATGCTTTGGCGGGAAAACGAATTAACATAAATTAACATATAATTAGTGATTGACAGCACGTCAAGTTGTACATTTCATTTTATTGTCACAACACGCACTCATCGACACGTTGTTTACATCGAAAATCACTGTTAAAATGCCAAAATCGAAGTCTAAAACTGATAGAAAGAGTACAAATCCTTTTTGCAACACAAGGTCAAGGGGGAAGAAAAAAAAAAGACTGACGCGTGTGTCTTTAAAGATGAGAGAAAGAGTTATCTCTCCCATACTGACCTCGGCTCATATTTTGAACAAGAGAAGCAATGGCCCGAGCTTTTTTCTGACAAAAATCCTGGAGATGCTGGAAGTTCTTCGCGAAGTGAAGCGAAACTAAATGACAGCATGGAAAGCTTGAAGAGAAGAAAAGCTTCAGAATCGGAGTCAGAATCGGAGTCAGAATCGCTTACCGACTTAGACAACAGCGAGGATGGTGCATTTAAAGCTCCTGTTGGACGTTATATTGTTGAGCCTGGATGTCTACAAGAAATGGTCGACAATTCAGCAGTTTGTAAGTATTGCCATTGCCCAATACACATACGCGAGAAAGCGAACTCAAGGCACGGATTGGGGGCAAAATGGATTTTCATTTGTACAAGCGAGACATGCGTTTCACATGTATTATCACGCGCTTCAGTGCCAATTTCGGAATATTCTGGACAAATACGGTGAACGCTTCTTCTGTTGCTGCTTTCCGAGCAATCGGGAAAGGCAGGGCTGCAGCAGAGAAATGCCTTAGTATGTTGGATATTTCTTCGCCAGTATCCACATGGAGTTCATACACCAAAGAACTAGAACCCAAGTCAAAAGAACTGACCGAGACTAGTATGGAAGACGCCGTATTTGAACTGAAAAAACTTAAACGTTGTATCGGAGAAGTTCCAGATTGCACTGATGATCAGTTGAAATCCAAAATTGTTGATTGTGCCGCTAGTTTTGACGGTTCTTGGAACAGCAGAGGGTGGTTTGCAAGAGACGGAGTTGTGACAGCTATATCTGACGATACGGGAAAGGTTCTTGATGTTATTTTCATGACCAAATCATGTCCGCACTGTAAACAAATGGACGATAAACGGGCACGTGGGGAATTGACAAGGCTTGAGTTTCTGGATTGGTATATAAAGCACGAACCAGGCTGTCTTCTTAACCATGATGGGAGCGCTCAGGTAATAATAAACACTATTACCTGTATTAAACAATATATATTTATTGGTGGGTAGAGAAAACACATCCGTCTAAAAAATTAAATCATGACTAAAAGAAGTTCTTTAAAGCATACTGATATCTGGCCTTCAAAATAGATAAACTCGGGTAAAAATTTAGGCTTTATTGTTATAGGCTAATAGCTTGCTAGCCTGCAGGCAGTAGCTACTTATAACTTACCTATTAAATTTGCATATATTTGTAATATGCAAATTCAACACTAAATATATTTCTGTTTATTGTTTCTAATTCTATAGTCAATGGAGGCTGCTGGGGTCTCAAAACTCTATTCCCGATCAATTGAAAGGCACAAGATTCGATACATTCCATTTATTGGGGATGGGGACAGTAGTTCATACAGCCGCATATGCATAGAGCAACCTTATGGTCCTACTGTGTACATACCGAAGGTTGATTGTATTGCACATGTAACAAAAAGGAT